TGGCCCTACTGAGGCCATGCCCAAGGCTCTATGTTACCTGGAGATATGCCTGAAAGAAGGAAGAGGCAGGCAGAAGATGAAGGCTGGAAAACTAGTGCGAGTATTACTTTAATAAATGATGTAGGAACCATCCAAATACGAATGCTTCCAAATTTTACAAAAATTTCTGGTGGAGGCTGGCACATTGCAAGTGCAAAATTCAATTCTCAAGGTCAAAGGCAGTTAAATGGCACATCTTCAGGTAGTTTAATGATTTCAAGGTCTTTATTAAGAGCCCAACTCCACAGGAGTTGGAGGTTTTCAGAGTTTTAAAGTATCTCAGAGTTTTCAGACTAATTCTCCCTTCTTCACTCTCCATTGCCGTTGGGTTCATGACACTGCAGTATAGTTTTACAGTGCCTGTGGTGAGCTGAAGATAATAATAGACATTATTTACCATGTGTCAGATAGATATTATGCTATGGATATCAGCGGGCTATTTTATTTAACCTTCACAGCAATCTTAACAGATGGGTATGATCACTATCCAGGGCTAAGTGAGGTTAGCAAACTTGCTTTTAATTTTTCAAATTAAAAGCTGATAATTTGAAGTGCCAGCCCTTGAACTCATCCAGCCTGCCTTCAGAGCCCGAGTTCTCAACCAGCATGCTATACAGTCACTAAATTGACTCAGTGGCCCTGATAAGCTTATTGTGAGGGTTAAGTAAAATATCCCATTAATATGCTTAGCACAGGACTATCATCTTCCCTTCTCAACTCTTCTAGAGATATCTCTCTGACCCAAGGTCCAGGCTTTTATCCTCACCCCAGAATTAGAAGAACTTAAATGTATCACGCCACTCCTACGCTTATAACCCTTCAATGATTATACGCATATAATAGTGCATATAATGGTTCTTTGTAGCTCTCAGGATAAAGTCCAAATTCTTTATCATGCCTTAGAAGGCCCTTCATGATGTGCCCCGCTTCCATGACCAGCCTTGTCGTCTTTACCACTTTGCTCCTCAACTTCTCTGCTCCAGCCATGTTGATGTACTTTCACTAAACTGCCCCTCTGGGCCTTGGCACATACTGTCCCCTCTTCCTGGAAACTTTCCTTCTCTTCATCTCTTTTTCAAGGGGCCAAATCCCCCTCATCTCTCGGGTTTCAGCTCAGACATCACTTCCTCTGCATGTCCTCATAGATCTCCCAAATATGGATACAACAGAAGTAATAGCATTGCAGTACTTTGTATTGATCAGATTGCCCACAGCATATTTTGTCCAGTACTGGGCATCATAGAGATAAGGTCTGAAGATAGGAAACCAGTATGGGGAGCATTCTCAAATAGTTCTTAATATATGCCAGGTACTGAGTTAATGACCATGGATATTATCTCACATAATCCTCACATAATCCTATTGGATTGGATAGATGCAAATTAGAAAACTGAAACTCAAAGAAGGTAAGCAACTTGCTCAAGTTTCCTCAAATGGTAAATGGTAGAGTATGGTGTTTGAACCCAAATCTGTGCAAATTCCTAGCCTATGCATTCGATCTCTGCATAATACTATCTCTGATTATAATATTATATTATAATACTGCCTCTTTTTATAATATAATATTATATTATAATGATTGGTTAGTGAGTAAGTAGAAGTTATTTAACCCGAAGAACAGACGACCAAGGAGAAACATGATAGCTACATTCATTCAAACAGTTGAAAAGCTGATACGCATATAATAGTGCATATAATGGTTCTTTGTAGCTCTCAGGATAAAGTCCAAATTCTTTTTTTTTTTTTTTAATTTTTATTTATTTATTTATTTATTTTTGTCTTTTTTCATGACCAGCAATGGATCGCAACCCTCAGTGTCGCGCCCGTACCGGACCGGGACCGGCTACGGGATCGCAACCCTCAGTGTTGCTCCCGCACCTCGCTCAGCCAGTGAGCGGCTGGTCTGCATGTGGGATCCAAACCCTCGGCGGGAGCGCCGCCGTGCTTCCCAAGCGGCGCACTGTAGCAATGCGCCACTGGGCCGGCCCCTAAAGTCCAAATTCTTTATCATGCCTTAGAAGGCCCTTCATGATGTGCCCCGCTTCCATGACCAGCCTTGTCATCTTTACCACTTTGCTCCTCAACTTCTCTGCTCCAGCCATGTTGATGTACTTTCACTAAACTGCCCCTCTGGGCCTTGGCACATCCTGTCCCCTCTTCCTGGAAACTTTCCTTCTCTTCATCTCCTTTTCAAGGGGCCAAATCCCCCTCGTACGCATATAATAGTGCATATAATGGTTCTTTGTAGCTCTCAGGATAAAGTCCAAATTCTTTATCATGCCTTAGAAGGCCCTTCATGATGTGCCCCGCTTCCATGACCAGCCTTGTCGTCTTTACCACTTTGCTCCTCAACTTCTCTGCTCCAGCCATGTTGATGTACTTTCACTAAACTGCCCCTCTGGGCCTTGGCACATACTGTCCCCTCTTCCTGGAAACTTTCCTTCTCTTCATCTCTTTTTCAAGGGGCCAAATCCCCCTCATCTCTCGGGTTTCAGCTCAGACATCACTTCCTCTGCATGTCCTCATAGATCTCCCAAATATGGATACAACAGAAGTAATAGCATTGCAGTACTTTGTATTGATCAGATTGCCCACAGCATATTTTGTCCAGTACTGGGCATCATAGAGATAAGGTCTGAAGATAGGAAACCAGTATGTGGAGCATTCTCAAATAGTTCTTAATATATGCCAGGTACTGAGTTAATGACCATGGATATTATCTCACATAATCCTCACATAATCCTATTGGATTGGATAGATGCAAATTAGAAAACTGAAACTCAAAGAAGGTAAGCAACTTGCTCAAGTTTCCTCAAATGGTAAATGGTAGAGTATGGTGTTTGAACCCAAATCTGTGCAAATTCCTAGCCTATGCATTCGATCTCTGCATAATACTATCTCTGATTATAATATTATATTATAATACTGCCTCTTTTTATAATATAATATTATATTATAATGATTGGTTAGTGAGTAAGTAGAAGTTATTTAACCCGAAGAACAGACGACCAAGGAGAAACATGATAGCTACATTCATTCAAACAGTTGAAAAGCTGTCACTTCAGAGAGCAACAGGGAAATAGATGGTTCAATAGAAGAAAGCTCTAAAAAAGAGAAGGCGAGCCCCTGGGGGGTAAGGCCCAAGTTTCAGTCTCCATGTATCCCTCATTCTAATGTCTGGCACAGAGGAGGGAGCCCCATAAATGGAAGGAAATGGAGCTTCCCAAGAGTGGAATGGGTTGCCCTTGAAACAGTGACCGTCCCCAGGATGGGGCTGATTGGCCACCTGACAGAACACCATGGGAGGGATCATAGAGAAGGGAATCTGTGTATTCTGCCTCCTTGAATTAGATGAGGTCTAAAGTCCCTGTCCACTCTAGGATTCTGTAATTAGTGGACTGAGTTTATGACTCAGACTCTGGCAAGTCAGCACCTGGCATACATCAGTGCACTGAGATCTCAGAAAGTAGAGAACATAAGTGGATGAGATTTCTGGGCTTCTGGATCCCAAGCTTCCACCCCTTCCAGCCCCACACAGAGGAATCAGAAATGGTTCACTGTAACTCTGGGAGCCTGAAAGCTCCCAATTCTGTTCCAAAGGCTGATCTGGAAATAGAGACATTTAAGTCATTTGTAGAAAAAAGACTCTGCCTATGGGTTTCAGCTGCTGTCACAAGATCAGAAAAAGGAGATGAACCTCCTTCCTAGCAGATGTATAAGAAAAAAAATCAATATGCCAGCAAATGAATTTCTGACAGTCATTTGCCGAAAGGAATCAAATGGGCCCCACAAAATGTACATTGGGTGGCCCACTGTTCCTCATACGCACTGAATCCTTTCACTCTGTGCTGAGTGATGGGTGGTAAACACTCAGAACTGCCCCCACTACTCAGCATAGAGTGAGTCCCAACAGAGCACGGCCAGCGGCGAGTGCTTTCTGCTCATCTTTCCTAGAGAGCTCATACAAATGTGGGTGGCTCACAAAGAGGGTGAAATTTTCCATCAACACTTATGTTATCAGACCTTCAGATTCCACTTTCAAAAGATTGATGCACCTGAAAAATAACAGCCTTCTGGAGGATATGAGGCCATCTAGTAACAAGGGTAGCTCAGATGTGTGGTCCAAGATATAGCTTTAATCAACACATGCATACACACACAACTACACATACAACTGTATTAAACTACGCAAACTTCACTTCTGCAACTTTTTAAAGAGGTAATTAACTGGATACAAAGTTTTTACTTTCATCAATAGGCCTAATAGCATGTTTGGCCCAACTTCATTGTCATCTAATGTTCTTTGACTATGCCTTTTCATAGTCTACCCTTCTTTCTTTTCACTTGCTTCTCTCAACTTAGAGACCAAACCTTCCTAGCTTGTGTCTATTGCTAGAGCTTCAGATAGGCTTCCCTGAACTGCCTATGGCATGGTGGTAGTCTCTCTCATGGGACCACCACCACACCATTTGCATCTCTAACCCTCCTATCAGGGATCTGAGCTCTAAGTTCTCCTGAATCTTTTTCTCCCTGCCTCTCAAGAAACATGGATCAGATATAGGATAGTAAGTAACTATATGAAACCACCGACTGTATTTTCCAGCTGAAAGGAGTGGGTTTCCACCCTTTGCAAAAGAGTAGAAAATCCCCTCTCACCTTCCAATAGGAAACAATGATTGCTGAGTTGATGTCAGTAACTTGAACTTAAAAACTGAGTTCCCCTTGCAGTTCTTGACAAAACAACTTTTATTAACAGCTTTCTAACAATCTGTCTTCTACTGAACTTGAGGATAAGTTATTTTTAAACAAAACATCTTAAGCTGAATATGTATATTTATATACCTTGAATATTGATATATAAGGTTCCCAGGACAGATGTTGCCCATAGAAATGTGTATACAGATATTGCACACATAGATGCTTCTCACAAACAGATGTACACAAAGGCAGATGCTACTCACGTAGACAGATGTCCACCAGGAACACGATATATACCACAAGCTCCCTCAGGGTAGTCTTGACATAAAGTTCCCGGTTCTCAGCTGTGTTCTCAGTCAGGGTTGTTCCCCAAAGTCCTAAGGGATATTGGAGAGATTCCCAAGATCCCAACAGCAGCATTCCTCCCAGTTATCTCCACCCATCTGTCCCTGGACTTTATCCCCATTTTCACCCCGGCTCTTCCTTACCCATCACCTTATCCCTTGGCTGAGTCTGGCAACTCTACCCACACCCATGCCTGCCCTCGTCCATCAAACTCCCTGCAGTAGACAGGGGTGAAGGCCCTGGGTCAAAGAGAACAAAGGCGTGAAAAAGAGGCATTTGTTCCAGGTGGAGCAGTCTAGGGTATCATCTCATCCTGTCCTCCCTCAAACAAGCTCCTACATAACCCTCTGGATCCCCCATGTGATCTATGCCAGGTTCCCCCTCTTGCAGACCACTAGACTAGCCTCTGTGTTCTGGGGCATGCAGCTCTATCACAAGCAATCGCAAATCCCAAATAGACCCTGAGATTTCACCTCTTCTTCAGATCACATTTCCCCTCTAAAAGCTTTTGGTGACTCCCGTCTCCTGACTCCAATATCCCAGGAGAGCCCTTCCCCACTCCAGTACCTCTGATGCCGTGACGGATATGGAAGCAGCAGCCGGACACCAGGGTCCTGTGCGCCTTCTCCTGGTGTCCATCCTCAGGCTTCTTGGGTTGGGGCTGGGGGGGCACCAAACTGGAGATGGTGCAGATCCTCAGCATCCCATCTGGGGAAGGGGGGCCACTGTAGGCAGGATTGTCCCAGGCTCCACTCCCCAGCTTTTGCATCTCCTGTCCCTCAGGACTTTCCACAGCATTCATGGGGAATGAGGTGCCTACTGTCACCTGCAGAAAGAGGAAGCAACAGCACAGCAAAGCCTAGCCAGCTGAGGGCAAGAGGAAAAAAGCCTGAGAGCAGCTGCTCTTACACAGCCTCTGCCTCCTGCCTTTTGTAGGGAAAACCTGTGCCCACTTGGGGGAGGGAGCAGATGGGGGTGGAGAGTGGCCATCAATCCTGTCAGGGGCTCGCTCTCTCCCTCTTGCTGCAGGTCCCAGGGGACAAGAAGAGAGGGGGTGTGAGGGAACCGTGAATCAGGGGTTTGAAGAGAAGGGAGAGGGAAATATGAGGAAGACGTGGAGACTGGGAGTAGAAGGAGGGATGGATGAAAGGGGCGAATGCTGGGGAGGAAGGGGGCTGCTTGCAGACGATGGAGGGATGGTCCAGAGGTCAGTCAGAAGAGATGATTAAAGAGAAGTGGGAGGAACTGAGAAAAGAGGGAGGTTGGGGGACTCATTGCAGGTCTGAGCTAACTTCCACTAAAAGCTCCTGAAAGGGCCGACATGGATTGGGGTGGGGACCAAGGCTGGAGAGGAGACACTGAAAAGCACTGAAAGTGCTGCCTCCTGACATGGCTCTTTTAATGTCTCACCTTGAGCTGTCCCCTAGTGGAGTGAAGAAGGCAGGGGGAGGACAACAGCAGGAGAAATCCCTGTCTCAGATACTGTCTCAGATACTCTGACCCCTAATGGGGAAGGGAAAAGGACTGCAGAATTCCAGGTTGTCTGCATTCTTTTTTCTCAGGTTTGCTCTCCCATGGCTTATGGGTGAAGTACATCAATAAAAGGGTGTTCCATAAGGGCGTGGGACTCAGCTTAGGAAAAAGGCTAAATCCTGAGTGGAGGGATGGATCAGAGAGCAAAGGGCAGGAACAATGTGACTTGGGACTCTTTAATGGGAGTGGACATCTGAACCCAGCTGAGCTGGCAACATTTTCCTATGCCTCTCCTTAGCCCTAGGCCTACAACCGTAAGATTGAGCATAAAATGGAAATATGAGAGATATCAGGATTGATATGCTTGTTTTCCAGTTTCAGGTCTCTGAATTAAAACTCTGGCATGGGCTCCCAAGCACATTCCTGCCTATCCTCAGCTCCAGCCTCTGATCACCTGCCCTGACTCACCTATAGGCATATGCTATGCCCCAGAATGGGGCTGATCCCACCCTGCAGTCCCTCCTCCTTAATGGCTGGAAGGGAATTGTCCTCTTCCAACTCCTGATTCCCCACCTGGGGCTACTCTACTGATGCACTGTCCTGAAGCCCACCTCACATTCAATAAAAAATCAGCCTGGTGGAAGTCACCAGTCTTGAGTGTCTCTATAAAGAGATCTTGATACCAGACAACCCAGGGCTGGGCTTAGCCCCTTGTTAAATAAGTGTACCCCAACTTCTAAGACAAGGTCAGAAAAGTGGCTGTCATACTCCTGAGTCTGCAGCATGAATCTCCTGCCCAGGCCCAGACACTATTAAGGAAACAAACTCCCTGCTTGGACTGGAGCTGAGGAACTGTCAATGAGCCTTCCTGAATGGAGGAGTTTTCATCTCTCTGTTTTACCAGACAGTGAGACACACTCCAAGGTGCCTGTTTTCTTTGGGAAGAAAAAGGATGAGACACATATGTAGTCAATTGGTTTTCAACAAAAGTGCCAAGAGCACACAATGGGGAAAAGACAGTTTCTTCAATAAATGGTATTGAGAAAACTGGATATCTACATACAGAAGAATAAAAATGGACCCTTATCTCACCCCTAAAACAAGAATCAAGTCAAAGTGGACTAAAGAATTAAATGCAGGGGCTGGCCCGTGGCTCACTCGGGAGAGTGTGGTGCTGATGACACCAAGGCCAAGGTTCGGATCGCATATAGGGATGGCCGGTCAGCTCGCTTGGGAGAGCGTGGTGCTGACACAAACACAAAAAAGAATTAAACATAAGACCTGAAACTATAAAACTACTAGAAGAAAACATAGGGGAAAAGCTCCATGACATTGGTCTGGGCAGTGATTTCTTGGATATGACCTAAAAGCACAGGCAACAAAAGCAAAAATAGACAAATGGGATTTCATCAAACTAAAAAGCTTCTGCACAGCAAAGGAAACAACTAATAGAGCAAACGGAAACCATGGATTGGGAGAAAATATTTGCAAATCATGTGTCAGATAAGGGGCTAATATTAAAATACACAAGGAACTCAAATCACTTTATGACAGGAAAACAAATAGCCTATTTTTAAAATGGGTAAAGGACTGAAATAGACATTTCTCAAAAGAAGACATACAAATGGCCAACAGTATATGAAAAACTGCTCAACATTTCCAATCAAAAGAGAAATGCAAATTAAAACCACAGTAAGATACCACCTCACAACTGTTAGATTGGCTATTATCAAAAAGACTTCAGATAACAAGAGTTGTAAACCATGTGTAGAAAATGGAATCCTGGGCCAGCCCTGTGGCTCACTCGGGAGAGTGCAGTGCTGATAACACCAAGGCCAAGGGTTCGGATCCCACATAGGGATGGCCGGTTAGCTCGCTGGGTGGGCATGGTGCTGACAACACCAAGTCAAGGGTTAAGATCCCCTTACCGGTCATCTTTAAAAAAAAAAAAAAAAAAAAAAAAGAAAATGGAATCCTTATACACTGTTGGTGGTACTGTAAATTTGTACAGCCATGTTGGAAAACAGTATGGAGGTTCCTCAAAAAAACTAAAAATAGAATTACCATGTGATCCAGCAATACCACTACTGAGTTTATACCCAAAGGAACTGAAATCAGTATGTTGAAGAGATGTCTGCACTACCATCTGCACTATTCACAATAGACAAGATATGGAAACAACCTAAGTGCCCATCAACAGATGAATGGATAAAGAAAACGTGGTATACATGTATACTCAATGGAATACTATTCAGTCTTTAAAAAAATAATTTAAAAAAAATCAGGAAATGTTGTCATTCGTGACAACATGGATGAACCTAGAGGACATTATGTTAAGTGAAATAAGCCAGGCACAGACAAATACTGTATGATTTCACTTACATGTGGAATCTTAAAAAGTCATACTCCTGGAAGTAGAGAGTAGAATGGTGGTTACCAGAGGCTAGGGGCAGGGGAGTCGGGTGTGGAGAAGACTGGGAAAGGGGAGATGTTGGTCAATGGGTATAATGTTTCAGTTAGATAAGAGGAATAAGTTCTGGTGTTCTATTGCACAGAACAGTGACTATAGTTAATAATAATGTATTGCATATTTCAAAATAGCCAAAAGAGAGGATTTAAAATTTTCTCACCACGAAGAAATAATACATATTTGAGGTGATGGATATACTAGTTACCCTAATTTGAGTATTACACATTGTATACATGTATTGATACATCACACTGTACCCCATAAATATATAACTGTGTTGATTATAAATAAATGAATAAA